CAGTTTAAACCAGTTTGGACCAGTCCCTCCCAGTTTGGGGCTCGGGATTTGGGATTCCCGCCCTAATTACCATAATTAACCCCGCCCACCATTACCCCGTCCAACAGCCAATCCCCGTGCTGAAATTACCATAACCAGCCCCGCCCACACCAAACCACGCCCACGGCGGATTTCCCGCGCTTTTGGCCCCGCCCACTCATTGCTCCTTGGCCCCGCCCCGCGGCTCCCGCAGCCAATCAGGGTGCTCGGCCCCGCCCCTGGCCCCGCCCCTGCCCGCGGCCGCTGCCGGAAGCGCCGGGGGGACATTGGGGGACATTGGGGACATTTGGGGACATTTTGGGGGGATTGGGGACATTTGGGGGACATTGGGGACATTGGGGACATTTGGGGACATTTGGGGACACTGGGGATATTGGGGACATTGGGGACATTGGGGGGAATTGGGGACACTGGGGACATTGGGGACATTTGGGGACATTTGGGGTACTGGGGACATTGTGGCCATGGAGAACCTGGAGAGCACTGGGGACATTGGGGACATTTGGGGGATTGGGGACATTTGGGGCATTGGGGACGTTGGGGCATTGGGGACGTTGGGGACATTGGGGACATCGGTGGCACAGGGGTCACAGGGCACTGAGGAGGCTCCATCAGCCCGTCCAGCCCTGGGGACAGCGGGGACATTGGGGACAATGGGGACATTGGGGACAATGGGGACACTGGGGACATTGGGGACATTTGGGGACATTGGGGACATTGGGGACATGGGGACAATGGGGATGTTGGGGGCATTGGAGACATTGGGGGCAATGAGGACATTGGGGACATTGAAGATGTTGTGGTCATGGAGAACCTGGAGAGCACTGCGGACCTTGGAGGTGTTGGGGACATTGGGGACAATGGGGACACTGGGGACATGGGGGTCATTTGGGGCAATGGAAACATTGGGGACATTGGGGACATTGGGGACATCTGGGGACAATCCAGGGGCTCCATGAGGCCACCAAGTCCTGGGGCCATCGGGGCCATCGGTGGCACAGGGACACGGGGCACCGTGAGCACCTTGGGGACATTGGGGACATTGGGGACACGGGGCCTGCGGTGGCACGGGAGGCGCTGGGAGGGTGACACGGGCATGGGGACACGGCGGTGGCACTGAGGACATGGTGTGACACGGGCATGGGGACACGGCGGTGGCACTGAGGACATGGTGTGACACGGGCGTGGGGACAGGACGGTGGCCTTGGGGACAGGTTGGTGGCACTGGGGACACAGTGGTGGCACTGGAGACACGGCGGTGACACTGGGGACATTGGGTGGCCCTGGGGACAGGGCAGTGGCCTTGGGAACAGGTTGGTGGCACTGGGGACAGGGCAGTGGCCCTGGGGACAGCACAGTGACCTTGGGGACACTTTGCTGGCCTTGGGGACAGCACGGTGGCCTTGCGGACAGGGTGGTGGCACTGGGGACACGGCGGTAGCCCTGGGGACAGGTTGGTGACCTTGGGGACAGCGCGGTGGCCCTGGGGACATGGGGTGGCCCTGGGGACATGGGGTGGCCCTGGGAACAGGTTGGTGGCCCTGGGGACATTGGGTGGCCCTGGGGACATGGGGTGGCCCTGGGGACATGGGGTGGCCTTGGGGACATTGGGTGGCCCTGGGGACATGGGGTGGCCCTGGGGACATTGGGTGGCCCTGGGGACATGGGGTGGCCCTGGGGACATGGGGTGGCACTGGGGACATTGGGTGGCCCTGGGGACATGGGGTGGCCCTGGGAACAGGTTGGTGACACTGGGGACAGTTTGGTGACCTTGGGGACATTGGGTGGCCCTGGGGACATGGGGTGGCCCTGGGGACATTGGGTGGCCCTGGGGACATTGGGTGGCCTTGGGGACAGGTTGGTGGCCCTGGGGACATTGGGTGGCCCTGGGGAGATTGGGTGGCCTTGGGGACATTAGGTGGCCCTGGGGACATTGGGTGGTGGCCCTGAGGACAGGTTGGTGGCCTTGGGGACAGGTTGGTGACCTTGGGGACACATTGGTGACCTTGGGGACATTGGGTGGTGGCCCTGGGGACACTGGGTGACCCCGGGGACACTGGGTGGTGGCCCTGGGGACAGCGCTGTCACTCACCCTGGGTCGTGGTCTCGCCGTTGGTGCCAGCCAGGGGCACCACGCCCTTGTCCACCTGCGGCAGCGCTGGCGTCAGCGGGACGGGGACGGCGCCAGCGGCGCCCGGTCCCCAACATGTCCCCAACGTCCCCAAGGTGTCCCCAACCAACCAACCAACCAACCCAACCCAACCAACCCAACCCAACTCATTGAACCCAACCCAACTCAACCCAACCAACCCAACTCAATGAACCCAACCCAACCCAACTCAACCCAACCCAACTTAACTCAATGAACCCAACTCAACCCAACCCAACGAACCCAACCCAACCCAACCAACCAACCCAACCAACCCACCCAACCAAACCAACCAAACCAACCCAACCAACCCAACCCAACCCAACCAACCCAACCAACCCAACCAACCCAACCAACCCAACCACCCCAACCCAACCAATCCAACCCAACCAACCCAACCAACCCAACCCAACCAACCCAACCAACCCAACCAACCAACCCAACCAACCCAACCCAACCAATCCAACCCAACCAACCCAACCAACCCAACCCAACCAACCCAACCCAACTCATTGAACCCAACCCAACTCAACTCATCCAACCCAACCCAACCAACTCAACTCAACCCAACCAACCCAACCCAACCCAAACCCAACTCAATGAACCCAACCCAACCCAACTCAACCCAACCCAACTTAACTCAATGAACCCAACTCAACCCAACCCAACGAACCCAACCCAACCCAACCCACCCTACCCCACCCGAGTTCCCAAGCCCCGTGGTGTCCCCGCGGCGTCCCGATGCCCACCTTGATGCCCACCAGGGCGCCCTTGTCGCGGATGACCTGCGGGAAGGGGCGCCCGTCGTCGGCCTTCTGGTACATGGTCTCGTGGAAGAGGATGACGCCGCCGATGCACGGCTCCACGCGCTTGTCGGCCGTGAAGAGCAGCTGCCGGTACCAGCGCCGGTTCTCCTCCGTGTTCTCGGCGCCCACCGAGCTCAGGCGCTTGGCGATGCTGCCTGGGGTGGGGGGAGACAGGTCAGGAGCCGTTAGAACCGGTTAGAACCAGTAGAAACCACTCAGATCCTGTATAAACCGGTTAGAACCTGTATGAACCAGTTAGAATCTGTATAAACCAGTTAGAACCTGTATGAACCAGTTAGAATCTGTATAAACCAGTTAGAACCTGTATAAAACAGTTAGAACCTGTATAAGCCACTCAGAACCAGTATAAACCAGTTAGAACCTGTATAAGCCAGTTAGAACCATTATAAGCCAGTTAGAACTGGTATAAACCACTCAGAACCTGTATAAACCAGTTAGAACCTGTATAAGTCAGTTAGAACCTGTATAAACCAGTCAGAACCGGTATAAACCACTCAGAACCTGTATAAACCAGTTAGAACCATTATAAACCAGTTAGAACCTGTATAAGCCACATAGAACCTGTATAAACCAGTTAGAACCTGTATGAACCAGTTAGAGCCTGTATAAACCAGTTTTAACCTATATGAACCAGTTAAAACCGGTATAAACCAGTTAGAACCTGTAAAAACCCTCCAAGTTCACTCCCAGTCCCCTCCCAGTCCATCCCAGTTCCCTCCCAGTCCCCACCAGTCGGTCCCAGTCCATCCCAGTCCCCACCAGTCCATCCCAGTCCGTCCCAGTTCACTCCCAGTCAGTCCCAGCCCATTCCCAGTCCCCTCCCAGTCCGTCCCAGTACAGACCAGTGGACTCGTCAGCAGCCAGGATGTCCTTGCCGGGGGCCACAATGCGCTGGGCGATGGCCCCGGTCAGTCCCAGTCCCTCCCAGTCTGTCCCAGTTCACTCCCAATCCATTCCCAGTCCATCCCAGTCCCTCCCAGTCCGTCCCAGTACAGACCAGTGGACTCGTCAGCAGCCAGGATGCCCTTGCCGGGGGCCACGATGCGCTGGGCGATGGCCCTGGTCAGTCCCAGTTCACTCCCAGTCCATCCCAGTCCCTCCCAGTCCATCCCAGTCCCTCCCAATCCATTCCCAGTCCCTCCCAGTCCCTCCCAGTTCCCTCCCAGTCCGTCCCAGTACAGACCAGTGGACTCGTCAGCAGCCAGGATGCCCTTGCCGGGGGCCACGATGCGCTGGGCGATGTCCGCCAGCTCCTTCTTCTGCTCGGGGGTGAGCGCGGGCACGGGGGGCGCCATCTTGCTGGGGGACACCGGGACCTCACCGTGACGTCACCGTGATGTCACCGGGACGTCACCGTGACGTCAGAGGGGTGGCCGTGACGTCATCGGCCACGCCTGAGGTGGGGGAGGGGCACGGGCACGGCCACACCCCCGGGGGGTCCCCAAAAAGGGGAGAGAGGGGGACTGGGAGGGACTGGGAAGGACTGGGAGGGACTGGGAATGGACTGGGAGGGACTGGAAGGGGACTGGAAATGAACTGGGAAGGACTGGGAGGGACTGGAGGGGACTGGGGGGGACTGGGAGGGACTGGGTGGGACTGGGAGGGACTGGAAGGGGACTGGAAGGGGACTGGAAGGGGACTGGGACAGACTGGGAGGGACTGGGAGAAAACTGGGAATGAACTGGGAGGGACTGGGAGGAACTTCAGGGGATAAGGAATGAATTGGGAGTGAACTGGGACTGAACTGGGAGGGACTGGGAACAGGTTGAGAGTGACTGGGAGTGACTGGTAAAGGTCAGGGAGCACTGGGAAGGGACTGGGACTGAACTGGGGATGAAATGGGAGTGAACTGGGGGCACTGGGAGGAGATAAGGAGGGCACTGAGGGCACTGGGAGTGGA